CCCCAAAACCCCAAAACCCCAAAACCCCAAAACCCCAAATTTAAACAGAGAGTTGAATTTAGATTAATGTATTATTTATCCCAACACTGTCTTGGCAACTGTGGTAAAGTTGCAACTGTTTATGTCCCTTATTCTCCCCGCGTTGCTTGTGCTACTTGCTTTGAAAGAATAAAACAAAATCAATCTGATTTGAAAGGATTCGACATTGGGCAAGCCCAGAATGATCTCTCCAAAGGTAAGTTCTCGCATAATTTGTAGCCAAGGAGCTTATTGTCCATCACTTATTGCCTCAGATATTTACTCAGGAGCACGACCAACTGCTGAACTCGATGATTAAACTGTGATTCGAATCTGAATACTTCAGAGCCGAACAAATGGTGGCTGATTGCACAATCTTTCTGCAGAAAATTACCTCAGAAGTAGCACAACATAAAGGAGTCCTCAAAAAATAAAGCCATAAATATTGGAGGGAGAGTTAGTAGAGGTAACACCAAGGATCATAGCCATGAAGAATTGAAAGAAGCACAAGTTAGAGAAATTGAGGGTACGAAAAAAGAATACAACACTCAACACAAACATCAACAAGTAAGCCAGGATTTATCAGAATTGGATTTCTGACTTTTGCTTTTTGTTTTTATCATTTATCTTCGCTAGAAATCTGAAAGTATTTCTGACAAGGGCATGAACATCGAAGACTTGAAGCAAAAGTATGATCATGAATTACAAGCTTTAAAAAATACCAAAGCTAAAGAATCTAAATACCAAGCCGGTATTGATAAAATGAAAAATGAATTAAAGAGCACGGAGGCTGATTTGGAAATTATCAGAAACCAGAAGATTGCTCAACAGATTTCTTTGGTTGATCTTGAAAAGAAAATTTATGCTTTATTTCACAAGAACTCTCACATTCCAAAACTAAGGGATCTTAATTCTGAGTGTACAGACCTTGTAAGTCGGTAAAAGTTATCAATAGAATGCATCACTAGAGCAAACGATTCAGGAAACCTTACTTGAACAGCTTAACACTATTATCCACACTACACTAGATGATCCTCCAAATCTGACTGCAGATTCTGAACTGAGGCTTGATTTCAGTAAAGGTAAGAATTTCGATCCACAAACAAAATCCTAATAATTTCCGAAATAAAACCTCCATTCCAAAATTTTCTTTTATTTTCTGATCAAATCTGAGTTCTCTTCAACCCCTCAAGACCCAATCTCCATATAGGCACAGCAAGGAACATCATGAAGAGACTATCTGGTCTAAGTCTTCCAAAGCTGAAGACTATCGCCTTAGGTAATCTCTCATCATATCCACACCCAAAAGACATCGACGCCTTTATCACTAAGAGTATTCCTGATGGAATCGAAACTTTTACACTCGATTGCCCTAAAGATTTCCTTCCGTCAGTTCTCAAAGTATCTAAGAAGGTGAAAAGGAAGATTAATTTAAGAATCTTTGGGCTTTCTCAACAAGAACTGATAGATGTAATAGCTGCTTTCAAGCATTGTCAATCGATTTCATTAAGTTCATCAGTAGTTGAGATAAACTCAGAGCTTAATTTTGAAGATAAACTAGATGGATCAGCTTTTACATCCCTAGATCTGGGATATATAGGATACAAATATACAGGAAACTGGAAAGAAAACCCTATAAAATTTCACCACATAATGTCAGGTCTCTACAAAGCCTCTAACATCCCTAAAACCCTCAAATCCCTGGACCTTAACTACTGCGGAATATCTAAACCCCACGCCTTGCTACTGCTGCATGAGATCGGGTTCAATGACCTCAAAATCACCATCCATTTCACCTAAAAATGCCTTCACCCAAAAATCCTTCTATCCACCCATACCCCCTCGGGGTTTTGGGGTTTTGGGGTTTTGGGGTTTTGGGG